GGAAACCTGGCAGAGCCCCTTACTTTTGGCCTAAAAGGACTGATCACCAAGATGTCTTTTGAAGTTTTAAACTAAGAGGTTTCCAGTGCAATACAGTATATACAAATGAAGTTTTTCCTCAGTTTTGCAATGGACTGCAAACTATACTTATTACACCACTACACCTTCTCTCAAGCCTGCCAGGGCCTCCATTTATGTATGTGGCTTACAGCTTAAAGTCAGTAGTTGGACTACTGTATGAACTGTTACTATCATGTTTTATACCGGTCGTAAATGCACTCCCCAAACTACAAGAAAGCGGTATGTTTATTTTTTAAACCAGCTTTTAATTTTCTTAGTGTTATTTATTGTAGATGCAACTGTTCTTACTCTGTTGGGTGGGGTTGGGGATTGATTTTGCTGGGCTTAACGCTGCAGTTTGAGTGACTTGTGCTGAAACAGTTAATGAAAGCATTCAGTATTCAGAGAAATAGCTGAAAAACTACAGATGCCAGGTTATTACATACTATGTATCTGATAATAATGGTAAAAAGATGTTTCCTAAGTATTTTTGGACTCTTTGTTTTTATTTTGTTTAGCCCTTATTAAATGCTAAGTAAATTGAAATATATTTTATGATATGTTGTTATATTAGTCATCAAGATTAATGAAAGACAGTAAAGAGCAGTACTCTGCAGATGAATAACATCCTTTAGAGTTAAACTTTGAACTAGATTTATGAACTCTGTTAAAACTCATGATCTATTACATGACAGTTTATAAAAGCCATTTTATTATAAGGCATTGTCTCTGGAAAATTCTCTAATTATTGATGTTATTAGCTAAAGAATAAATGTTAAGATACTAGTTTTTCAGAATACTAAGATTTTAAAATCTTAACTGTTATATAGCTTTTATTAAATATCAAACTTTCTGTGTAATCATGAAAAGTATAGTTTTGTGTAGAGAAAAGATAATTAAGAAGTTCTTTGTTAGACTTAATCTAAAATTACAGTATCAATATGTGGATTTTAGCATTATCTATGACATAATGTTGGTATGGTTTTTCCCCTGCTTTCACCTGAATGGTGACTTTATTTGGGAAACTTAATTGTTAAAGAACTAGTCATTTTTTTGTTTAGACTACTAAAATGTGTTTTACGTGTTTGAATTAGTTTAATCTTTGAGGTTGTTTTCGTATGAGGTTACAGAGTATTCCTGCTTCGAGCAGTATGTTTATGATTGGGCTTTGCCAATTAATTTGAAGAATTAAAATTTAAGAATTCAAGAGAAGTTGCTCACCAAAAATTAATAATTTTAAAGAAGCAGTGGGCTAGTCTTTGTACTTACATTTGTCAAAAACTTTGTTTGTTCTCCCAGCTGTTTCTGGTTTAATTTCTAATGTGTCTAATTTATGTAGGCGTCGACCAGAAGATTATGATATTCATAACAGCAGAAAGAAACCAAGGATTGACTATCCCCCTGAGTTTCACCAGAGACCAGGTTAATATTTTATAATCCTGAAGATTATTTGACTTAACAGAAAACTTCCAAGAGGTTTAAAAGTAAATTAGGGCATGACAACTTAAACCTGAGGAAATCATTGCTAGCTCTAATTATCAGTTCTCCCCCTACCTCAGTTAGATTGTTCAATCTACTTCAGTGAGTTACAATCCAATAATTACCTGAAATTGCTGATTTTGCAAAAATGGAAGTTGCTCTGGACCTGTATAAGAGTTAGGAAAACAGTGACCCTTGGCATCAGTATGTTTTCTCTTCCCTGTGGTGCTTAGTGCTTCATGTGGTATGCAGTATTAATTGGACTTTGAAATTAAGCCTTTTGAAACTAAAAAAAGCTTCATAATTTTGCCAAGCAATGGGAAATACTTCGTTTGTAATCCAAGTTCAGCAATCAGTCTATTCTTTAGTGGTATTTAAAGAAGCAGACCGTGTTAAGGAATATATTTATAGTAGCATTCAGTGGTACACACATAAAAGTTTGCCTGTCTGGAACTTGGTTTCAGTGAGCATTAAAATTAGAACATTCTTATAACAATGTGGCTTCATACAAGCATTTAAGAAAATACTTAATTTTTATGTATGAATGTTTTGCCTGCGTGTGTGTACGTGCACTGTTTGTGTGCAATGCCCTTGAAGGCCAGAAAAGGACATTGGATCTCCTAGAGTTGGAGTTATGGATGGTTAGGCACCATGTGGGTGCTGGAAATTGAACTCGTACTCTACAAGAACAAGTACTCTAACTGATGAGCAATCTCTCCTGCCAAACATTTTTTTTTAAGAGAAGATTGTTACATTAGGATACTTTCCCAAGTATAACACAGCCACCCATATATTTTTACATGATAGTTTGCTGGATCCTTACTGAAGG